CTTTGTTGGGACCGCCCCCCTCCCCACAAAAGTGCCAATTCATGTCACTACAGCACACATGTAGCTTACCACACGATTAGACGGTCAACCTAGAGTGTAATTTGAGTTTCTGTGAATATTTCAACAATTTTAGATGTCAGGTTATTTACTGAAACGGCATATTGTCCATATTTCCTGCGTAAACTGCATGTGATGAACGTTCGCGGTTGGTAGGAGGGCAGCAAACCGCAATGCAATTTTTCCCCAACATTGGCAATGAACCCTCGCTTTAGATTACGGGCTTTTTCTAATACAAAGGAGTAATTAACATTCAGCGAGGAAGTGATTTACCATATATCGCTACGGAAATGTTGACGGAAGTCTGAACAATATGTCCTAGCACCCCCGAAAATAGCATGGTCCTATGTCTACATTAACATAATCTATGCCAGGATGTAATAATCACTATTTGATACTCCTAATTAATAAACGTGTGGAACATTGCATGCAAAACAAACAAAATTTTCTTAAAGTGTAAAGTATATTATGTTTTAATAGGTTCAAAATAAATTTAGTTGCCTGGAATGGTAAACAGAAATATACCGCCCATAATAAAAATGGGAGCATCCACATCAAAGCAAAATGAATGTCGCTTCGCCAGCCACCAAAAAAACTTCGCGAAGTACACACAGACGTGTCTGTAGGTACTCCGGTATGCTTACCTGGTGGGGTCTCAGTGATCTCGCCGGGTAAAGCGGTATTTTTATCGTCTTGTACGATTTATCGTTTTGTGCGCCCTTCATTGGGTTACTATTTTTTGTTTGGTTCGGTCTACCATTAAACAGGCCCATAGAAAATAAAAGTAACCCATAGAAAATACAAAGTACCCATAGAAAATACAAAGTACCCATAGAAAATACAAAGTACCCATAGAAAATACAAAGTACCCATAGAAAATACAAAGTACCCACAGAAAAAACAAGTACCCATAGAAAATACAAAGTACCCATAGAAAATACAAAGTACCCATAGAAAATACAAAGTACCCATAGAAAATACAAAGTACCCATAGAAAATACGAGTACCCATAGAAAATACAAAGTACCCATAGAAAATACAAAGTACCCACAGAAAAAACAAGTACCCATAGAAAATACAAAGTACCCATAGAAAATACAAAGTACCCATAGAAAATACAAAGTGGAATAAAAAATGCTAAGTGTACCTATGGGCCTTCGTAGTCAACAATCACCTACTTGAGTGTTCAACTATTGCAAACACACACTGACAGGGTAGTCCAACTTCCAAATTGTCCATTTAGTCCAAAAATTTAACTTTTTGACCAGCGGTACTAGCACGGCAAATGCAAACACTGGCAGCATGACCTCTGACCCCCATGAAGACCACCAAAAGACAAGAAGATGGGAGTAGTTTTAGAACTCTACCAAGCAGCCAAAACAACACTAACAGCCAGTTTTTTTCAAGTTAATTCAAATAGAAATAACTCCCCAGCTGGAAAATGCCAGCATTTATCCACACATACCAAGAAAAAGGCTGTTTTCAGTTGGTTTGGCTGCACTCACTCAAAGGGGTCTCACACTGGGCCCTCTGGGCATGCGCCAATTGGTGACCTTTGCCCTATAGGCAACATCGTCTTTTTTTTTATGGATGACATCCACGCGCGCATTGATTTTCGCCTGTTCTCAAAAAAAAAAAGATCACGTCCTCCAAGGCTCTGGCCTGACTCTAGGCCTGGGTAGTCCGTGCATATGGCAGTGAGCGACAATACGGAGCCGGTGGTAACTCTGGGGGCTGCCGAAGCCCCACAACTTAAGGTCTTTTTTAATAGCTAGTACATACGTACAGTGCCGATTCATAAATTCAGCAAAAAGCAGTATGTGCCTGTGTGTCGTATACGTCGCTATGTAATGCATGTACGGTCGCAAATTCACAATACCAGCTTTGTATTCCTGTGGTTCTATATTATAAAGTAGCATTTTTATTTTTGGCCGGAATTTTATTTTTATTCGCCCGTGCCCACTAGTTTGGGGTCTTCAGAGAATGTCATCCATGAAAGTAATGCGGTGTGGCCTTAGGCCATGTTGTGTCCCAAACCGTGCCTGTTCTGTGCCTAAGCGGGCACAGAATGGGAGACAGCAGGCCATGTTGATTTGATTACAGTAACATAGATGGCATCCTCCGGGAACCCCAAAACTGATGCGTGCGTGCGTGCGAATAGAAAAAAAGTTTGGCAAAAAAAAGAGCTGCATTATGAAATCTAATTTTCAACGCTACATGGTCACGATGAGTACACACACATATAGCGTATATGGAGTATCACATGGCGAATAACCATGGAGGTTTTTCTCACAAGAGCTGCATTACCACAAGAGCTGCATTATGAAATCTAATTTTCAACGCTACATGGTCACGATGAGTACACAAACATATGGCGTATATGGAGTATCATATGGCGAATAACCATGGAGGTAAAACCTCCATGGAATGATAGACTCTTCATTTTCATTTCTTCACATTTATTTTTTTGTTTTGATATTGATTTTGGCAATCACAAGGTTGTTTGATCAATTCAAAACCTAATTGAAAATCTACAATGATCGCTGAGCCATGGGGAGCCAAACCTATCATGACAACCCGGCGCAGATCCGGCGATTTACTGCGCACTATTTGGAACCCTGGTCAGATTTAAACTCCGACCAGGAACTATAAAGATTAACATCACTTGGCGAAGGTATGAGATCGTGGAACTCTATTTCCAGTTATTTTCACACTTCACCCTGATATGAAGTAATCCTTGTAAAAAATACATTATAATTACATAAATCATACAAAGCAGCTGAAAAATAAGCAACTGTATGCCCTAAATTACCAAAAACAAGAGTTCCACAATCTCACACCTTCGCCAAATGATGTTAACCCTTNGCCGGAATTTTATTTTTATTCGCCCGTGCCCACTAGTTTGGGGTCTTCAGAGAATGTCATCCATGAAAGTAATGCGGTGTGGCCTTAGGCCATGTTGTGTCCCAAACCGTGCCTGTTCTGTGCCTAAGCGGGCACAGAATGGGAGACAGCAGGCCATGTTGATTTGATTACAGTAACATAGATGACATCCTCCGGGAACCCCAAAACTGATGCGTGCGTGCGTGCGTGCGAATAGAATAAAAGTTTGGCAAAAAAAGAGCTGCATTATGAAATCTAATTTTCAACGCTACATGGTCACGATGAGTACACACACATATGGCGTATATGGAGTATCATATGGCGAATAACCATGGAGGTAAAACCTCCATGGAATGATAGACTCTTCATTTTCATTTCTTCACATTTATTTTTTTCTCTTTGGAATTGATTTTGGCAATCACAAGGTTGTTTGATCAATTCAAAACCTAATTGAAAATCTACAACGATCGCTGAGCCATGGGGAGCCAAACCTAGCATGACAACCCGGCGCAGATCCGGCGATTTACTGCGCACTATTTGGAACCCTGGTCAGATTTAAACTCCGACCAGTAACTATAAAGATTAACATCACTTGGCGAAGGTATGAGATCGTGGAACTCTATTTCCAGTTATTTTCACACTTCACCCTGATATGAAGTAATCCTTGTAAAAATACATTATAATTACATAAATCATACAAAGCAGCTGAAAAATAAGCAACTGTATGCCCTAAATTACCAAAAACAAGAGTTCCACAATCTCACACCTTCGCCAAATGATGTTAACCCTTGCAGGTGACGAATTATACAATTTTGATTATAACTGATTTCACAAAAAAGAACCTCATTTGCATGGATTATATTAGTTGAACATATTCTTCACCCAATGACAGCCTTATCTTAACAAAAAGGCTATTAAAGAACTTTCTCATAAATTATGCTAATGAGGTCATGATTTGAATAAATTTTGTTTATTGATGTCACATTCACTTAATTTCCAATTGTGGCAAGCATGAAA